CTCTACGCGCGCGGCGTGCTCGGCACTAGCCGCGCAAAGCGAGACCGTTTGCGCGGCCTCCGGGGTTCGTCTTTCGTCTCGCGTGTGCGGGGGAGCGTCGACACTCGCGACTGCCACAGAGCTGCTCGATACTCTAGCCGGACGGCCTGAATATTCACGCGTTATCTTTCTCATTTTCGAATCCCCCGTGTCTTGTTTCCGACTCCTAAAATCTTGGGTTTCAATACGTGCGGGAGACTGTCGCTGCTATTTGTCGTTCGGCAAATTTTTCCAAGCGTGTCGGATTGGCTGCAAGCTAGAAGATTTCTAGATACCTGGCAACTTTTCTATCTTGCAGTCGACATGCTCGGAAAAATTGGTTTCGCGACAAATTCGATACTAACCGTAGGCTGGCGTCGCACTTGTACAACAAATCTTTCAAGCGTGTCGATTGGCTACGAGCTAGAACATTTCTAGATGCCCGGCAACTTTTCTATCCCGCGGCCAATCAACACGCTTGGAAAATTTGTTGTACGACAAACGTAACACCAGCCATAAACGCGACATCGACGCGAAGCTCGGTCAGTCGGACGCGTCGCGGCCGATCATGTGGCTTGGCGTCGGGAGGGGGTGGGGGTGGGGATGACCATGATGGCGGCCGCCACGCGCCATGTCGCGACCGCGCTCTTGCACGTCATCTCGCGCGTTCCCTTCGCCCCCTTTCGTCCTGTTGCGCGTCGCGTCGTTCGCCGTGCGCGATGAGGGGAAAGCGCATTAGCATTTTTTTTTCTCGTGCACACGCGCGGACAAACGGTACGCCGACAGCCCTTTTCGCGAGAGATTTAATAATCCGCGAGGTGTTCTGGAAAGGGTTACATGACATACCCACATAGCGTCAATTCTTCCTTTGCGCGCAAATTTTGCTCGTCTGATGCCATGCAAACTTGTACGAGATTTGCCCGAGGTTTGCTCGTGAGACACGTTTAGTCCGCACGTTTTGCAGACAAGTGATTAGCTCGTGTATTAACGTATAATTTTGCGCGCAAATGTCTAATAACTCGTGTACAAAAATGGCTCAGCGCAAAATCCTATCCCAGTGCGTCGTCGTAGTGTTAGATGCGTTTGCGTGCAAAATGTTCTCTGGGTAGTTACGCGTAATATACCAGTTTTTCTCTTTTTTTCTCTTTTGGATAGACAGATCGAATGCGAGCGATGTGTAACGTTTTTATTTAATAATTTTATTATGAAGTTTTGTTAACTTGATCGAAATTAAACCTTGCGCGCCACGTGACTCTTTAAGGATTCTCGATTTAAAGTACGTGACTCTTAAAATAAACATCTGAATACGTCAGATCCGGAGAACGTGGAACTTTATTATAATTTATATATATATTTTTTCAATTGAATGAAGTTAGATAAAGTTCCTCTTTTCCTCATGGACGTTACTTTCAAAGCATGGTGGGACTTTGATTCTAATTAAAAAAAAATTTTTAGGTTACTGTAGGGAGAGGGAGAAAAAAATCAATGAGTAAAAGGGGCTAAGAGCCTTGATTAGGTGTTAGTGTCAAAAAGGTAAAAATTTTGTTTATTAAAACAAAAATTACAGACGTTTCGGTTTTTCTTTAGACCATCCTCAGTGTATAAATATAAAAGAAAGAGTAAAAAGAAATAATTAAAATGTAAAAGTCAATGATTCAAATTCGCTCACAACACAATGTATAAGAAAGCTGTAAAATGTAAAATGTAAGCCGTATTCGGATTTATTACGACTTACGAGGGAGAAAACATTATCGACATCTTTCGTGTCGTCCTTCACTAGCTATTGCCCAATCCGGCAATTGTTAACGATCGCGAGTATAGCGGATCTATTTCAATACACACGTGGACGTACTTTGAGTTAATTGCTCATAAGCATCGCAATCCGAGCGAAAACTTGGGAGAGTCGATTCGTGAATCGAAAGCTGGAACCCCAAGGTAACTTGGACAGAAAAGTTGGTAGCTGAGATTGGCAAGGGCAAATCGACAAAAAATAAAAAGATGGACGAGAGAAAGAAGAAATGGAAAGTAGCAATGTAGAAAACAGCGATGGCGTGTCGACAAAACACGGGTGGTCTAAAAATAGCACAAAGCACAAAACAGAGTGCAACGTGCGGATTATTATGCGAGGCGCGGCGCGTTCTCGAAATAACACTGCTTTTTACATATACACATGTATATTTCACACGATCTCCATATTTCTTCCCGACGAAGTTTGTTATGTAACGAAAGCTTCGAACAATTCGGCAATTCGCGAAACACGTAAGATTCTCGCGGGATTTGCACGCGCGAAATTTGAAGCGCAATAAATGTCAATGCAACGAATTACTGGACCGTAATTGAAGAATTGAAAAGACGAATCTGACGTTATTTTGAATAGATGTATTTGCAACGTGCGAAAACGAATCTGAAGTTGGAGTAAACAACCGCTGGACTGTAGTTATCAATTAGTAACTCTCGTGATTGTCTTATCTCACAGTGAGATATGTAAATACATTGCAATCGTATTAATTACATCGGTACAACTTGGCCTTCGAGAGAACGGCGCTAACTTTGTTTAATAATCGAAAATACACTGGTACAATTCGCTGTAAACAACCCACCAAAGGATGCATTGCTTTTTCTGTCATTATCATGAGACAAGATCAAATCGATTTAGATTGCACTCTTATAAATAAGTGTTACTTATTCGAAAATAATTGTCGGTTGTTTCTTTTCAACCTTATCCAATGACGAATTTGCGTTTTCGTGAAATTGAAGCTAGTCCTGCCGAGATTTTTCAAGGAGAATCGTTAGATAGGTACAACGAATGGTCATTTATTTATACTTATTATAAAATTGACACCGGCGAAAGTACATCTCAGAGTTTGCAGGCAGATTGTGGAGAAATTTGATTATAGAAACAAATTGTTACATTATATATTCGCGGGTGTTTCCTCGATGCACTAACCTTGTCATTCGAAAGTGTTTCGTTAGCGAGGAATACACATACGAACGAGTACACGTGCACATACTCGAGAGCGATTCCGAAGGAGAACGAGTTTTCTGTGAGTGCATAACACCGTTCCTCCTTCTCTCTCGCTCTCTTTCTCGCGTGCGCCCGCTGTCGGCCAATCAAGATCGCGGATTCGGCCACAACCTCCGCCCGGCCTCTGTGTCCATTGGCCAGCCGTTCGGTGACGTTGCTGACCCGCTTTTGAAATTCGGTAAACAACATCTCGCGGAGAGATCCAGAAAACTGCCCGACGAATAATCTATGCGATACGAATTAAGAATGGAGTTACGTCGCGCGGATCGCCAAGAGTGACGAAGAAAATATTTCTGCGTGTCACGCAGCCTCCGATTACTGATAGGTCTCTCAAATGACGCTAGAAGCGAACAGAGATGGAAAGAATGGACGAGCTGAACGGCGTCGCGAGTCGTATTGAGCGTCAATATAAATACGGATTTCTGAATGAAACATTTACATACATATCTAATGACGATTTACTATATTCTTTCGAGGAACACGATATCAAGTAATTTTTTTCTATTTACGATTAAGATCGAACTTCATAGCCAATGAAATGTTTCATAACAGCATCTTTAGATAAATTCAAGGCGGCCTTTAATATAAGATCTGACTATGAATACCGGCCTAAGTATGACGGATAAAATTCCTTCTAGATATGCGTCCAACTTCACGTTGTAGAAGCGCGCAGAGTTTAGCAAAACGGATAACTTCATTCCGTCAAACTGAGCGTACTTCAGTCGCGTGACTTTCGCAATTTGAAGCTCGACCCGCGAGAAGATTGCCGTGATTGGATCTGGATTGTCGTAACTGTTTAGGTTTACGCCCGGTCTACTATGAGTTGTTAGTTGTTAGTTAGAAGTCGGAACTATATGTCGGTCCTTTTTCTTCCACCCAGAAAGGAAAAGGATCAACATATAGTTGCGACTTCTGACTAACGACTCATTGTAGACCGGGCCTTAGGCTTTCGTCGCGAGACTCGAGCCGGTGTCGTAGACGTATGTCGCATTCATTGCATCGCGACGCGAGGCGACATACTACGACAATCCTCTGTGCGTCGACTTCCGACACCGACTCGAGTCTTGCAAGCCCAATATTACATTTGTCGTACGACAAATTTTTTAAGCGCGTTGATTGGTTGCAGGATAGTAAAGTTTCTAGAGATTCGGCAACTTTTCTATTCTCCAACCAATCAACACGCTTGAAAAATTTTGTCGTAAACGACAAATGTAATACCAGCCTTACGACGAAATCATAAACGATTACAACAATCTTTCTGCTCGGGCCCACAAGCGAGACCACTCGGATGAGAAAACGACACGGGAGGGGTAGGAGGGGGTGGAAGGAAAGAGAATTCGGCGGTGCGCGCTCACGCGGTGCCAAGGGGCGGTCGAGGGGGAACGAAGCTCGACTCGCGCGCGCAGCGTCGAGGGGGGGTTTTACGAGCGGGGAGGAACGAAAAGAAGTTTGACAACGAAACATCCGAATGGCCGAGGGAAAAAGGGGGGGACGCGCGCGCGCGCGCATGCGCATGCGCGCGCTGCTTGGTGACGCTACCCGGTGCGCGCGTAGCGCGTAGCCACGCTTCTCGCACGTCGTACACGCCGTCACGTCGAATCTCTGAATGTCGTCTCGTGAACAAGCGCCGCCGTTCCCTTTGAGAACAACGTCTCGCGCTCGCGCGCGCGCGCGAACATCATTGTGATTAAAAGGCCGGGATAATTCGGGAAGAGGCGGGCGTTCGAGCGAAGCTCAGTCGCGGGTGAAAAAAAAAAAGAGAGAGACCGCGGGTTTTCTCTTCCATTTTGGGGGAACAAGTGGCCGAGTCGAGTTGTCAGCGTTCCTCTTGACGACACGTTTGACGACAATTCGACTTCTCCCCCCCCCCCCCCGTTCTTCCCCCAATTTCGGCACTGACTGCGTCGGCTCCGGGAAACCGGGGGATTTAAAGGGGGCGAAGGAATACCGTGTGTACGAGAGGGGAGGGATCTATTTTGGAAGGAGCAAGCGGCGTCATTTTCGACAGATTCGACAACAGTGCCTTTCACTTTGTAGACATTCGGCGTGTTGATTCGGAAAGAGAGTGATTAGAAAAGCGAAGGGGAGCATCACCGAGGGAGAGATATCTGATATCTTGTGAAGGAAGCGAAAAAAAGGGATCCGGCGCCCACTTTTACGTTTGGCAACGGCGTTTCTCGTCGCTACCATTAATTTCGGGATCCTCGAATCTCGATCTTCGTGACTCCTCGGCGAAACATGAAGCTGGTAGTCGTGAGCGTGCTCAATAAAATCGGCGATCATCGTGACACACATTCGATGTTACTTTCGCGACGACCATACTTTTTGGACACTTTATCCACGTCTGCGTTACCCCGCGAACTTCAGGCACGTCCAACTTCAAGTATCAATCTTAATTTAGCGTGCCGCCGCAACTTGTGGCGCTCGTCCGGGACCGTGCATAATGCGTGCAAATTCTGGCAACATTGTCGCTTTACGTTTACGAGCAATTCTGATTTTTCTAAAGACTCGCATCTTATCTTCCGACGTTCTTTCATCTTATTTTTACTCGTCTTCCATTCTTTTCTGCATTTCATTCTATTGTACAATTCGATTACACCTCTCGTTGCATACTTCAGGCATGTCCATCTTGCTTTTGCATTTACTGCAATTTCATGGCGTCCATATTTAATACCGCGCGATGTTTTCTCGCAAGCGGTACTTTTGTAAATCTAACACTCGCGTTAAACTTCAATTTTCTTGACTTGCACAAGTGTGTCTCTGTGCGCAACAATTTTTTGAATTTACGTTTATTTTACCCTTTTCAATATTTCTGTGTGTTGTCTGCAGAATTTATACAAAATCTATTTTTACAACTCATTTTACGCATTTTTTATTTTTTGTAAGCTTTATATATTAAATGTACATTGAAAAGTTTGTAGTATCAAAATATGTATATGGGTATCTCGAGTCTTGGAAGTAAAATTCTAACGCAATTTTCAAAAAAATATTACTTAGTAAAACATACACATTATATGTATATCATACTTTAAAAGTGACAAATGCAACTATTTTTATATGCGATACGAAAGACGTAATATTTTATAAGTTTTTACCGATACGAAGTCATAGTGTAATATACATGTATTTAATTACAGAAACGATAGTGACGAACATAGTGAGCAGGATGTTCAGTTTTCACAAACCAAAGGTGTATCGATCTAGTACAGGCTGCTGCATTTGCAAAGCCAAATCTAGCAGGTAAAAGATATATTTATTTTGTTTTAAATTTAAAAAATATATATATTGTATATAACAAAACTAAATTTATAATTATGTATTCCACAGTTATTAATTATTATTTTAAATTAGAATTTATGTTGACAAGAAAGTTCTGACTATCTGTTGTAAATGTTATTTAGCAAGAGTTATATTGTCAGGATACTTTTACAGTATTGTACATGTGTATTTTATTATCATAATTAATAAATCCTTATGAATCTTTTTACAGTTCGAGATTCACAGATAGTAAAAAGTATGAAGATGACTTTATGCTTTGTTTTAAACTTGATGAGAGACGTAGCGGAGAGATATGTAACGCATGCGTGCTCCTAGTGAAGAGATTTAAGAAGCTGCCTCCTGGGAACGATCGCAACTGGAGACATGTCAGTACACTCGATAATCTTATTTTTGTTATTTGAACGTTGACATTACAAGTACAGTGTAAATGTCACAATTCTAGCACACTAAAGTATCCAATATTTATTATCTCACGGACAAGCGGTCTGTCTACATCTGCGAACTATTGCTGACAAACTCGTTTCACCAATACTTCCACATCTGTTTTCGTGCATTTGCATTTTACGGCCAATTAATAGTTCTCGGATACCATAAAACGTATTTAGCGTTCCTCCCGCGTAATTGCGAATGATGCAAACGTATATTCTTAACGTCGATCTTTGGTCTGCGTTTACCACAATAAAACGTTTTATTAAGACCTATTTTGTACTTTTTCGCTCATAATCTATTAAGTTATTAAATGACGGCGTTGCGCTAAATTCAACATTTATCGTAAATTTGTCATTGAGAAGGATCACTTTATGTGATCGAAACGTCTGACACAATAATTTATATTTTGATGTATTAAATTTTATATATCTCACACTTAATGTCTTGTGTTGACTCCTATTGCCTATTTCTGTTATGTGTTTTTCGATATTTATTATTTAGAACTATTACATTACATTGTCATTTAGGTCGCAATTTTTTCTTAAAAAGAATTATTTTTGCAGGTTGTGGACGCCCGCGCTGGTCCTGGTATTAAGTCGCTGACAAAATTCAAGGCAAAAAATAAAAGGAAACTTAAAGATAAATCTGATAAACTTGCCAAGAAGAAACATGTCTATGTAAAAACCGAAACGGATCGAGAACAAAGTCCACCGATAAGTGATGATTTGATCGGTTGGTTAAATTGAAATTATGCTTCTTAATAATATATAATTTAGCATTTAAAAATATAAATGGAAATTGGCTTCTCTATATGTCATAATATGTTATAATTCTCTACATGTTGATAATATTTTTAGATAGTAACGGTTTTTACTTTTTGATGTTGTAGAAGATTATGGGTTGGCAGACGGTAAAGCGTTGAGCAGGTCTGAAAGCATTTCGGACTACGACGATGACATTGGCGCTAATGAAAAACAAATGGATGTCGTTCAAGAAGATGAAGATGATATTAACTTCTTAGATTTATCTTATTACAAAAGGTAATGTTAAAATTGTATAATTTTCACGAGTTATTAAAGATAATAAGAAAAATTTCTTGAGTTCTAAGAAATTTTAGTTGTTTCAGTATTTTAGAAATGAACTGAAAAATTCTGTAAAGTGACAAAGTATTTGGAAAGACAAATAGAATGAATTTTAGTAATTTTGAAGAATTTAAACAATTTTAAATAGAAGTTTCAAGGATATATGCATATAGTACATGTAATAGATAATTAGAGATGATTCAACATATATATTAAAAGTTTCTCAAGTTTATATATCCACTACCTTGGATATTTCTTATATACAAAATATAAATCTCAAATATTTATCATAATATCTACATATTTCAATTTTTATTTATATATATATATTTTTTTTTGTTTTACACAGAGAAAGTATTTGCTGTGGCAGCATTTTCAGGGGCGCCAATGGTGAGATTATAATGCATTCGTCTAGCCTGAAACCATGCATAAATCTTGCCAGGCGGCAGCTTCTTACTTCTATACCAGTCGCCAGTCCCACTCACAGTTCTGCGTCCACGAGTCCTGTCCATGGCGTTGAATCGCCATCGTCAAGTCCAAAAACAAATTCGAAACAAACAAAGTCCGATAGTGACTCCTCATCTGATTCCGGTTATGATGAGTCCTCCAATCAGGGTGAGAGCAAAATAGCGAAGAATGTCCAAGTTCAGGCAGATGTGAAAATGATAGAGGAAGCTGTGAGGCCCGTAGAACTCGATCAGTTATCAAGTTGCAAAACCTTCAATAAGCAATCTGTCAGCGATGTTATTAATCAGTCACTTCAGTCGGTCTCCAATTAATGTCGGCCCTTTGTAGAGGGTTAATTTATTCCTTTACTTATGAAAACACACACGCATAGATTTGTACGTACATGCGTATACAGGGTGCCTGTTAGATCATTTTTTATCAGTTTTCAATAAAACTTTCAATCTGGGACATTTTTCATCGACATAGATTTCAAATTTTAGTTCTACGATATATAAAGTGGGTTTTTTACATTCGATTCTTGCAATATTTACTGCCTTTGATTCTTTTTCTTAAATCTTTAAGTATCCTTTGAATTTAAATCTGGAGACGACCATCTCATGGAGAATATTCAATTTTTAATTCTATTGTTTAAAAATCCTGATTTACTTAAATTAATTTTCGTTACGTAATTAAATAATACTATATAAAAGTTTATTTCTTGAAAAAAGAATTACCCAGGATTTTAAGGAAGATGTTTAATACGGTTCACTTAATTCTAAAACAAAAGGAATTTAGTGATAAAAAATTTATATTGAAAATGAGTTCGTTTATAAGCCGAGTTTAAAACATGTCCCTAAAAATCAGTGCAATTTTTTTTATCAAAAACTCCTGAAATCGATACATCTCATACCAGATACAATAACTTGTTGCAGTATAAAAACACGCCACCCTGTATATACGAATAGATGTAAGCTGAAATTAATTAAGTACGCTATCCCCGGGCAGCAAAGTGACTCTGAAAGGATTTCAAACCTTCGCTTCGAAGGTTTAAACGCCATTTGGATGCAATTTATTATGCTAAGGATAATTAGAGTTAATTACAGCGATGGATGGACGTAAACCGCCATTTCTCGAGCCGATAATTTTTAAGTCTTATATTAAGCAATATAAACACACATCAAAGTTCTGTGATGATATTGTAAAGTAAGAGACGCTCAGATTTCTTATGTCGTACTGCGGTCCGAGCTGGCGGTTTATGTACTCGCTTTTATAACACGTCAAGTGCCAGGGGAGAAACATACATAGGGTGTGCTGAGACAACCAAAGATAATGTCAAAAAAGTCGTGATAAAACGATGAAATTTAATATCTGCAAAGTAAATAACAAACATTTTGTTATTTAAAATTGAATATTGTTGAAAATGTCGAAAATTTTAAGTTTCAACTTTTTACGCAACAGTCTAATAAATTTTTAAAGTTTCTTGTCTGAGATTTAATTCTTTTAATATTTTTTAATTTCGGTTTTTAAATTTCTCATGTTTGATACAGATGCGTTTATTCTGGGAACCATACAAAATATTGAACTTTTTTCTTTTTGTCTCCTTAAACTATACATATAAAGTTTCATATAAAAACGAAATTTCATTTGTAACAATTTAGGAATTGACTCAATTGCAAAGATATATTATGTAAAAAATGGAGTAAGACTTGCTGAAAGAAAATTAAATTGATAAAAAGATTTTTTTGAAAAGATATCTAATAGTTGTTACAGGACACCTTGTATAAGTTCCAAGCTGCCAATCGATTCTCATCTGGGTCCAACAAAAGAAAGCAAGAATGAAAAAAGAAGAAATTTCTTGCATTTTCTTCCAGTTCACGATGCTCCATGACGTAAATTAATTAATTGATAGTGGTCATATTGACGACCCAGATCAATAGCAATAAACGCAAAGAATTGTACAGCGGGACGACTGATAAAGTCTGTTTTTAGTCTGTATTTAGACAGTATTAGTAGAAAAATGAAACATCTAGATAGAAAAATTGAAAGTGGCAATCAGATTGGCAAACTGGACCAGCGAATCTTTGTTTGATAGATAATTTTAGAGAATACGATACTTATATACTGAGCATTTCTATGAGACGAGGAAGGAACGGAAAGAGGAATAAATAAGTAAAAACTGTTAGTTCCTAGTTAACAAAGAAAAGATGGGCATGCTTCGATTGCATGTTTAGCGCAAAGTTCAATTCTCATTTTATATGGGACGTTCACGATTGTTTTACATCGTCAATTGTACATCAATTTGGAGTCAACTTTTTTGTAACAGAATTGAAGAACCGACTCCAAATCAATTGTAAAGGTTATAAATAATAAAAAGTTTGAGCCCATATAAAAATCGAGGGATGTAAGTTTTTATTGGACAAAGAAAGACGAAGATAGTCGGAAATGATTGATATAAATTGTATAATCGTTTTTGACTGTTCTTCTTAGCGCTAAACACACGAAGGAAAAACGGGCAAAAAAGATGTAGTAAAGCCGAGTACCTGCTGAAAACAAGTCATAACTACGGGTGATCGCGTGGTTGTTTTCAGAAATTTTTCCGTTTTTATTACACGCACAAAAAGAAAGAAGAAAGATTCGAAAGAATGATTGACACGAGATCTGTTAAAAACAGAATTTATATATCCGTGAAACAGAGAATCTATGCGCGGATTATTTAAACAAAAAAATCCGTGGAATCCGTGGAAATCAATAATTTCCGAACATGTATATACAGATTTTACCTCAATCTTTCTTTAAAATATGCGAAACATCGCATATTCAGTGATACAAAATACCCAAGTACCAGAAAAGTATATTGCATATTATCTCGTTGCAATAAATCACGGATTTATAAATCACATTTCTGAAAGAGGAAGGAAAACGTAATGACTCTTGGCTTAAAAGTTGGATCTGATGGGAAAGTATGAAATGTGCAATAGATGTTGTCGAACCCGTCCAATACCAAGCGAGTCATTATTTTCTAGAGTATCGAAACCTAGAGCTGCTTGTAAAATTCTTTCGAGTATAAGAATCAAAATTATTGCGATTTAGCAATGACTGTGGTAGACCCAAAATAATATTCTTGTTCTGAAATTAATGATGAAAAGATTAAAGAAAATTTTAAACTACATTTGATAAACTTAAATAAAGTTACATATTGAGATATAAATTATGGAACTTAAAATGATGAGTGAATTCATATTAAACTGAAAATTGTATATAATGGTCGGCAACGATGTACAATTACTAAAAATTTCTGATAAACAAAGTTCTTATTTTAGAATTATGGGTCCACCGTTGAGTTGCAAAATATTGTCGAGAAAATCGGAGGGAAAAGCTCGTTTAAATTGCCCATCGGACTTACGAAGGCTCACCGACAATCGTATAATAACGTAACAGGAAGCGATAACAGTTTTTTCATAATCAAACATCGAAAAGTCTAATCTATCAAAGGATAACGCTAATTGATCGCCTTTTCCAGTGATAGATCACATTTGTACATTTTTGTATGATCTCTATCATTTCTCTTTATTGTGAGATATAATACTGATAATTATTAACTTCTCTTTTGATTTATCGTAGTTAATATATGCAATGATCGAGGATGAATCATATAGCGAGAAAGATATAACTATAAATTTATATTTAAATTAACTTTAGCATTACATTTTGTTATGAATATTTAAATATAAATTTATATTTAAATTAAATTTAGCATTTAATGTATTTATGAAGCTAGTAAGCTCGGCAGAACTCAGCAAGCGAGTATGATTCCGTCTGGATTACGAAACAAATGGTTTCTCTTATTTATTTATTTCATAAGTCGACTTATTTTCCTAACTAAACATAATATTTCTTTTTTTTTATGTAAATTTATACGTATATTGTATGCACATATATTTTTATATGAATCAGTGATCTTTACGTCGTGATTGTTTTTAACACTGCCAGAAAATAAATGCGTTTGTCAATGAAAGATAACGGGAATTGCAATGACTGGCAATATATCGTAAAAATTATTTATTTCTCATGTCCTTAAATGATCAATTAATATCAATTATTAATATTAGCTATGAAATTGATATTAATTAATTAATATTTTCAAAATGTCATTAGTATAATAATGGTATCGATATTAATTAATTGATATCGGTTGTTAGTTAATATATTAATATTTATTCAAACAAATTTTATCAACAATATTCAATTTAAAAAATATTGCAGAATATTTTCTCATTCAAATGTGTGATAAATGGCGTATCAGTAAAACATAAAAATATTCGAATATATTTAAAAGAATACTCCACGTTTTAAAGAAATGGAGGAAAAATGATTAGATTGTAAATTCAAATTTTATTTATCAGAGGATATATACATACATGCGCGCGCACGCACGCACACACATATATATATACATATATGTGGGTGTGTGTATGTATATATATGTATATGTGTATATATATAGTATACTTTTGTATATTTATACGGTATCACCTTTATATATATATAAAAGTATATAATACTGTATAAATATACACAAGTACATGATACAAAAATTTACAATAGAATAGATAAAATACAATATATGAAGAAATACAAAACATAACATGATATATATAAAAACAAACTATATAATTATATACAATATACAACTATGTATACAATCGCGGAGACAACTGTAAAAGGAGCGAAAGATCAACGAAATTATTTGAGTATACAAGTTTTTTTTAATATACTGCAAATTTAAACTCGCAAATAGTAAAATTGCAATTTTTTTAATTGTAAAATTACTGTGTAATATAGCTATTACGGCGAAGACGAACTTTACAATCTTAAAGTTTAAAAAACAGTTTTTAAGTTTCAAGTACACGAAACAAAATCCCAAAATCAGCTCCTTATCAGTAGTCCATCCGTCGACATTGATATCGCCGAGACATTCATGAATTTGTGCAAATTATCATTATTTTGTATCTCAAGATAGCAAGTTTTTTTTTACTTATACGTAATTGTTAATTAATTCGCGAGAACACACGCAACAATGGCATTTATTATTGCCAGGAAAAAGAATTTTTCGAATCTAGTTGTATCACTTTGATTGAAAAGTTTCACGCATTCCTGTTGTTTTATTTTTAATCGGAAAATTTTTTAATCAATTTGGACGTACGAAATAATAAATAATTATTATTGAAATATAATAAGTAATAACATATATTAAATGATAAGTTCATACAAATAAAAATTATTTTCAATTAAGAATACTCTTAAAAGTCGCCAGCAGTAATTAACAACATCAATGATTTTTATTGACTATTATCACAGCCCCAGTGGTCGAGCTGGTAAGACGCCCGTCACGGATTGAGGGAGGTCCCAGGTTCGAATCCTGGTTGGGGTATTATTTTTCGCAATAAGAATTTTAATTGCCAGATACGGTCAATAAAAATCATTGATGTTAAAAATTATTTTCTTCGAACTTGTTTTAAGCTAACATTCGAAACAAGTTCGAATAAATAACAGTTTTTTAATACATGTATTTACTTGTTATAGTAATTTAATCAAATGTGAACTAGATATACTAAATTAACTAAATAATAAATTTGATTATCGTAATAATAAGAAAACACAACCGGATTGTGTTCACGAAATTTTTGATACATGCATTTTCCACACAGATATCTGTAAAATATACGTATATAAATATACGTGCATTTGTAAAATATTTTACATATGTAATAACGAAATATTCGATGTAATTAAATTAAAGCGCGTGTTCTCGCGTGTTACAAATCAATCAGTAATCTAAGGACAGAGAATCTAAGCGAGCAATGATCTATCGGTATATATGTATAGCGTGATTTATATCTCTCGTTGTGTCTTTACAAAAGTTTCGGGATTTCTTTTTTACTTTTATAAAATAAAATTTATAATGATTAAACTGTAAAAAATAATGAATCTATATATATGTGTACAAAGAGTTGAATTATACAAATTAAGCGTTTCATATAAGAGATTTTAAAGTTACTGAAAAAAAATTTTAATCGTCTTATTAGAAGTCACACGGAAGCTATTTTAAATTTTGATAAATTTATTTTAGAAAAATTTCGTATACATTTTTAATTTATAATAAATTTATGAAAATATATTTACTTCTTAAACTACCTGCAATCTTTAAACGTTAAATTTTGATAAATTTTAACTGAATTACTTGCGTGTTTCCTACAAATGTAAGTTGAATTTTAATGTGTAAATTTATTCTCAATAAATTAGCATTGAGTTTAATTATGTCAAAATTTTCGGAGAGTTAGTGTTTTGAAAAATTAAGGAAAATAAAATGGGAACGAGAGAATTTTATTTGCACAATTTTGTAAGAGATTTATGTATATGTACATTATAAGAAAAGACATCGGCGTATTTTCCATTTAGAGAGTAAATGTATTTTTCAACTTTTGGAATTTCTACAAATTTCGAAGATCCAGAAGCTTTTGTGAGAGATTTAAACAAAGATTGAGAGTAAGATTTCGCGTAAACATTAAAGATAATGATTGTGAGACTGACCAATACATTTAGCGGGTAACTTTTTTTTACAATGAGATATGTATGTATATATAAATACATAAATATCCCTGAACGTGCGTGTGTGTGTGTGTGTGTGTGTGTGTGTGTGTATAGAGATAAATCGATTACATTTTATTTGTGCAAATATTAATCGCGAAGCTCTAGCTGCAACCGGAGCGACGACTGCTGTAAAATTAATATATTATAAATATATTATGTTGATCAGGAAATTCATTTGTCTTTCCTAGTTCATACGAGTAAAGTCAATGAGATAAAATAATTATAGAAGTAAAATAAAGAAACGAGAAACTGTTGATAAAATACAAGTGGATTTTTTGATCAAAGAAAGCTATATATATATATATATATAATATGATTATTATCTCGCGTTATGGTTATTATTATTACATATATATACAGCGCATTTGTATATATATGTATGTATAAAATAATTCCAATCATTGTGTATAATTAGGATATAAATTGTGTACATTTATAGGGGATATTATTAATATTATTATTATATTGCGTTCGCGCCGGCGATAATCTCGTCGGTTCTCGATTGGCCGGAAGCACTCTTTTCAAATTTTGGCCAGAATGCTGTGCAACAGACGAGACGATCGATCCCTTTTATATAATAAGAAAGAAACACACCACCTTGTATCCATGTACAACTTTATATTAAATCAGTTTATTTGTAAACGAGTTCCGTTCCCCTTCGCAAGCCCAAGTCGCATCCTTCTCTGATGCTTGCCGGAGCATCCATCTTTTTTCGCGTAACGATAAAAGGGCGCTTGTAATTTGATTGTATAATTCGAGAGGTGTTCGTAGCTGAAAAAAAAACCTAAAGTTGTGTAAATAAATAGAGTTAAATCAAGACCATCATGAATACAAATATATCAAACAAACGAGACAACGATTCTGCAACTTTTTGCGCCTTTTACATCTGGAACCGTCAATTCATGAAAACACTTGTATAATATACAAACTGTGGCTTTTATGTACAGACCGACTAGTTTCCACTAATTGGAGTAAATCAGAACAGCACGATATCATTGAAATTAAGTTTAGGAAGTCCGAGCAAGGTGTAGGTGGCTCAATAATTTTTAATCTAATATGTGAATTCATACACCGTATTTCCAGCTGTCCTGCGCGCCGCTTTCTTTTCGGACATAACACAGTTTCGTACTTTGTAAATTGTGTACATTTCTAATTCGTCGATTCTTAAGAAAGCGAGGTATCGAGGGGTCCCTCAAGTTCGACCGGAAGGGGTTCCGGATTTATTTCGTACGGACCTGACGACGGGCCGCCTCGTCGGTGACGTCGAAAACCGACGTTCCGATATGTCGGATTTTCCCCCGTCGTTCGCCAGATGTCGACACCGTCGTCCGGTCTCCACGCGTGTACATTTTTTCGCTGTCGCGAAATGTTCTTCACCCTTCTGTCGAGTGCGTCCGATTGTTTGATTCCTTGTTAAACATTATCGAGACTCAGGGACATGACCAGTCGTGTGCGGCCCCGTCTCGTGACCTTCGACGTGACCGGTACGTTGCTGATGACCAAGCTTGAGCATTACGTCGAGATCGGCTCTCAGCACGGTCTGCTGGTCGAGCCGGGAAAATTGGCGCGAAGCTTCAAAAGCAACTTCGTGCAGCTCAGTAAGGAGCACCCGATATACGGCAAGCATACCGGGTTGGGATGGAAGAACTGGTGGAGAACGATCGTACACAACGTGTTTAGAGAACAGCACGCCTCCGTATCGACGGAAACGCTGGACAAAGTAATATTAATGACGCATACGCAAATCGCAATATTGTTTGCGTTTAGCTGCGTTCGCCGGTGCAAATTTGAGGCGTCGGGGCGCTCTCTTCCTCTCTTTCTATTTCGTTCTCCTCTCTCGCTCACTCTAACGTAAGAGAAACGCGCCTCAGATTTGCAATGCCGAACGCAACTGTTGTACGCGCTACTGTGCGAAAGTCTAAAGCCCGTATCAGACTACGGATTGAGATTGGGATTAGATTGAAATCTGACCAATCGCAGTAAAGTTTACTAATCCCAAGTTTAGTAACTTTTACTCCAGTTGGCCAAATTTCAATCCAATCTCAATCTCAATCCGTAGTCTGATACGGGCTTAAGGCCCGGTCTACAATGAGTAGGTCAGAAGTCGGAGCTATGTCCAAGTATACGAAGACAAATAATAAAAAAATAAAAGGCCAATTTGCATTACCAATGCAAAGTCATATTTTTGTCACTGAACTATAGTACGTATCCCTTACGGAAAGAAACACTCAAGTTTTAAGTGTTAACACTCAAAACTTGAGTGTTTTTTTTTCCGCAAGGGATGTTGCTATGGTGGAGACAATTTTTCGTCGCTTAGAAATCGCGTGACCATTTTGAGTCGAAATAAAGTCACTTAGACTTTTTACTTTAGTGTGTTTCTTGGAGTATTTACGCAAGAACAATACTTAATTATTGTACTTGTTTATAATTATTTAACTATAGTTTAATAATGTAAGTAAAACCATTTACTAAAACAGGCTAAGACTTCATCGTAAAATATTTGAAATAAACTTTCCTCCTTAGTTTAATTTCTTTTCTTTATTATATTTTTTTTATCGAGGTATTGCTTCTAATTGTACTTTATTATTGATGCAAACAATTGGTTGATTTCATTTATCGTTCACTTTCCCAGGTCGCTGACAACCTGATAAACTGCTATGGCACCAGCAAATGCTGGTACAAGTATCCCGGTACCAATGATCTACTCGACTCCTTGCAGAAGGAAAATGTTATTTTGGGAGTTATTTCGAATTTTGATCAACGGTTGGAATCAATTCTCGAAGACTTTCAAATTCGTCAGTACTTTGCCTTTGTTCTTACCTCATATGACTTTGGAACGGAGAAGCCAAGTTTGCCGATATTCGAAGAGGCATTAAGATTGGTGAAATCTCTACGGAAGGTGGAGATATTACCTGAAGAAGCGACGCACATCGGTGATAGAGTGGATAACGATTATTTTGGAGCAAAAAGTGCTGGTTGGAATGCTTTATTAATAAAGCATGGGAGTGAGATTGGTGAGAGCAAAGTGCCAAGGGAAGATATTTTTAAAAGTTTGGAAGAACTTCAAAAACATTTTGATAAAGTGCTTAGAACGAATTATATAACACAATGAGAATTAGTCATCTGTTTTATTTTATATTCATATTTTATTTTTTTAAATGTTTTCCTGTATTTATGTATATGTATACATTTGTGCAAGTTGAATCTGTGTATTGTATACATATATGCATGTAATACTTAATTGTTTGTGCTCCATTTATATTTGCAATGAGAAACATTTTAAGTATTCTCCAAAATTGCCAAACATCAGGAGTGTATATTTCCACAAGAATCTAAATGGAATTTGATCAAGTAATTGTTAGAATTTTATACTTGAGGATTTGTATAGCGAAAATAAAAACTTGTTAAGTATCAAGAGAATCTAACGAAACAGGAAGTGGCAGGAATAAAAAGAAGAAACTTAACAATTGCAATTTAAGGGGAAATTATTCTCTGTTCGTACATTAAGCAAAACTATGATTGCTATATTTATGCCGATGTATGTAGACGTACACGTGTAGTCACGATCCGCAAATATTTAAATGCGTATATAAATCTGCGTGTACATACACAATCAGATGCAGATTTGCGTGTGTAGAGGCATTTGGGGTCTACTCTGTGCACCTGCGTTAACGACGGAAGTGAAAATACGCGCGATAACTGTGAGGGACATAGCGTTTACAAAGAATTTTTTGAAAACTTCCTTCTAATCAACCTTTAATTGTGATTAATGCTAACAACTGGCTTCCTATATTTATAATAATGTGTATTATTTATTATACGTTTGTGCAATAAAATGCAATGTATCTTAAAACCTTCAGTGATACCTAAATTCAATTATACTTAATTATACACTCGCCCGGTAAACAATTTTTTCATGCGTGAACGTGAATAAATTTATAGAAAAATATACATCAAATATGTTCGTATATATTTTTACATTGTATATTTCTACATTCTGTTATATACAATTCTATACAGTTCTGTATACTTTCTTAGACTTATACATGCTTTTATATAAAAAAAACTTTTTAATGTGATAAATTGCTTATTCACAATTATATGTAAATAATTGTGTACAATTGTACAAAGTTATATAATTATAAATAAGCAATTTTTTCCTTTCAAAAATTTTTCATATAAAAGCATGTACGATCTATAAAATTATATACATAGAACTGTGTAGAATTATATAAAAATATACAATGTAAAACCATGTATGGACATATTTGATATATAATCATGTATAATACTATATGTTTATGCATGTTCATCCATGAAAAATCTTTTACCGGGCGTGACACTGATATCTAAAAACTTTTATTATTATTATTGTTTTATTTGGGAGGGTGGGGCGCAAAATTTTCAGTTACGACACTGCATATCTACATGGGCCAAATGCTGAAAGCATCATTCTACCTCCTTTCCGCGTACAACGAGCAATAAAGATAGAACAATGCTTTCAACACGAAAGCGTGCAAGACGAACCTTTGCGCCTAATTTACAATGTGCTCTTTGTGCGTGGAAACATTCGGTTTTACATAAACGCAATTTATCAACTTGCAAAAATTTTTTTAACGTATTTATTGGCTACAAAACGGAATGTTTCCAGACGCAAATAGCACATTGTAGATTATAGGAATATAACCATAATCCGGCGTTTAAAGCCTGATCTACAATGTGTCCTTTGCGTCTAGAAACATTGTATTTTAGCCAATAAATAGGTTTAAAAAAATTAGCGCGAGTTGATAAACTGTACGTTATACGCTGTGCGCAATCGTGCGTTGTCGGCGAATTTTTTCAAAAGCGTTTTAATCTGCTTATACAAAACCAAATGTTTCTAGACGCAAAGAGCACATTGTAGATTAGGCGTGAGCGTAGGCGGGCGATGAGAACGAGCGTGGGAGAGACAGGCGCCCAGAAGGGGCGCTACGCACTGGGCGGCAAAGGGAAGGGGGCGGGGGTCGACGTCGTTGACGCGCGCGAGGCGAACGACGGGCCGCGCGGCGCGCCGTTACTCGTCGTTGGTCCGCGGCGGAGTTGATCTTGCGCGCTGTTGCCCAGCATCCGGATCCATGGAAGGTTAATGGGAGATGCACGATCGATAACGATCGCTCGACGACGACGATCCTCGTCGATGGACGCGCTGTCTAACCTCAAAGACGACCCTCGACGCTGCCGTCGGTGAGATTCGCGAATAGCGAGTGGAGTCTCGCCCGGAGTATCCGCGCGGAGAGAAATACTTGCTTTACCCCGAAGAGAATAAGATGAGAGGAGGCGCGATGTGGGGCCTGCTGTTGCTCGCGGGAGGCTGCGTCGTCCTGGCCGACCCCGAGGCCGAGCCTTCGGAGGAGCTGTTCCGTCGGCTGCCGAAGAACCGCAACGAGGACAAGTGCTACGACGAGAACGGCAGGCCGCAGGTACGTCCCGATTGTCTGTGTTATTTATATGCGCGATAAATAATGCAAATTCTCACGCTTCGGAAAGAAAAAAAGAGATCGGCACCTCCGTGTTTAAAAAAAAAGAATATTACCTTTATTTAATATAATTGATATCAAAATATATGCGTGATGCAAGTGTCTTAAAATACTGCTGCAACACTTTGATTTTTTTCACATAAAATTGTGCCGGAAGAGACGGAAAAGTCACTGAAGTACTTTTCCTTTCTTCTGCAGCGCATCGGCGTATTTCGTATACAATCTTATCTATTAATTCTTCGTATAACACGAATAAGTTTTTAACATTTTTTTTTCGTAACATTTGATCCTGTTTTTCTGCACAATTCTTAATTATTGTGTAATAACTATCAAAATGATTATGTAACGCCTACCGGTTTTGCTTGATGTTGTAATGTTAATTTTTTTGTATATAAGCGTAACTTTTTAAAATTCAATCTGTTCGTCAATTCTTTTGCCCGACGATGATTTTTCCCAAAGTCAAAATCCTCGGTCGAATATCAATTTTTTAATCGCCGCTTGTACTTTTCGCATGGTTAATTACATCGGCACCGGATTTCGGGAGGAAAGGTTATCACGGGGTTATTCCAAGTTGCTTGAACCCGCAGATAAATTGTGTGGGCCACGATATAAATGGACCAAGATATCATTTGCGAAGTCCGCGAGATGTGTCTTCTGTATTAGAAATAGAATCCTTTCCTATTTAGGTCGATCGCGGCTTGAGAAAATTGTTACACCCGGCCCAATTTCTTACATTTACCTGTGGGTGAACATCTAAATTTTGTATCCAACGTATTTATTAATTGTCCCTCTTGTGAATTTCATGTGAATTCGATCAATCTTGAAGACTATCGTGTTGTGTCTACAAAAAAGATTTTTTTTATTGACTAAACTTACATAATTCTGTTTGAAACTTTACTATCGTGTAATAAAAAAAAGTCTCCCTTTTATCGCGCATCGAAGTGTATCGCTATCCAATTTAAATTTTAGTTTAATTTTTTTTTAATAGCAATGAATCTACGAAGCGTCGATATATAAATAACGAAATATACCGTGGGAAATTTATTATTTGTTAGAATTTAACATCAGCACGTTGTGCGATATAATTTAACAAATTGCACACAACGCTGTGGAATATTTCAAATTGAACGAATATAAAACCCTGTAAGAGATTCAATTAAACGAACGTCGCGACGTGTATTTTTTTTTAGAGGTGCATACCGCCGTTCGAGAACGCGGCTTTCAACGTGCTGATGGAGGCAACCAACACGTGCGGCGACGAGCATCCCATCGAGTTCTGCAAGCAGACGGGCGTGCAGAAGAAGTCGTGCGAGATCTGCCGACGCGGCGACCACTCGGCCTCCTTCCTCACCGATCACGATAACAACGACAATGCTACCTGGTGGCAGTCGGACACCTTGTACGAGGGCATCGAGGATCCCAACCAGGTCAATCTTACTCTCCACCTAGGTGCGTTCTCGTGATGATATGTCCCTGTGGAAGACGCACTGCGAGAGACGTCCCAGTCGTTTGCGCTGGTCACCCATTCGCTCTCTCGCTCGTACACTGGCTCTTTCTCCTATCCTACTTCCTTATCTATGAGGATGTACGCGCGATGAGATAAATCATGCAGCGTACAAAGGATGATGGGGAAATCACGAAGCTCTCGCGCGAGCTTTGGTAGCGAATTTATTCTGAGGCCCCGCGCGCAGGAGGAAATATTATTGGAATAGATGTTAGATGTATATTAGAGAAGAGAAAGAAGAAAAGAGATTCAATATAACGCACAATGAAAAAGAATAAGATGCAAGATATATATGTATATAAGAACTGTGTCATACAGTTATAATTAAAAATGTTTATATTCCAGCTTATGAATTTAAACAATGTGGATATTTAATATTTATCGCTGTTCCTAATATTTTCTCTATTGTGCGCCGGCCTTAAGGGGAAGGTATTAAAGCTCCTTCATTATTAAAGCTTCAAAAATAGGTGATTTTTAAATATTGTTTTTTATATGTAAATACAAACCTAAAATAATGCTTTTTTAAAAGTAAAGCTTGAAGTTTATACAATACATAAAAAGTTTTGTCAAATATTTTATTGGTAGTAAGACTGAAAAACAAAACATCGTGGCTAAAGTTGTACGAAATACGCGGGAGACTGGTTGACAGGATTTCAACTACAATTGTTATCTAAAATAAACGGCAGTGCTTATTAAACTACAGACTAGAGGCTACGATCCATCGAGCCGGACTTTTGAAAAATTGATTTTTCGATAAGAATTATTTAACGCCAGCAACTGATTAATCAATGTAGAAAATTGCTTGGCTGGCAAATTCTAATTAAAGAAATTAATTGATAAACGCGAAGATGCCATTACTAGTACTGTTTATTGCGATAAATATTGCCACATGCCTCAGTGGTCGAATTGGTGAGACGCCCGCCTAGAGTGTAGCGAGATCCAGGTTCAAACTCTGGCTGAGGTAATCTTTCGCAATGAATTTCTTTAATTAGAATTTCTCATGCAAAAAACTTTTAGCGCCGTAAATATTAAAAATTAAGAAAAATATCATTTTTTATACTTCAAACTTCACTTTAAAAAAATGCATTTTAATAGTGTACCCCCCTTGATTGATGTGGGATCCAGGCTTGGGAGTTAGGATATTTTAACTGGAAAATTAGAACGTTTTGGTTCGATTGGTCAGACTTTTCGAGCGTGCATTTTAAAATAATATTTTTCGGATTAATTAACTGAATTATTACGTTATTTAATTATTTGATAAATAACAAGCCAGCAACAAGATCTTTGTACGGTCCGATGTATGCTAATTCACGTGCTATAATTATTCTATTTCGAAAATCTAATTTAATTAATTTTATTTACGTAAACTACAGGAATTTTGTCTTGATAAATTATGTGTCTGTCAATCACAGTTGGTTTTAATCGTCTCGCACGAAAGGTGACGGGGAAAAGAAGAAGCGTATACAAAGTCAGAGTTACAATCTGTATGCCATATGTTCATTCATCAAAGCCTTCTCTCTCATATCTTCTTGCGTATCATTACTGTTACGTATCGATGTGTCTTATGATACTTATCTTATGATCTTATGATCTTAGAAGATGACATTTCTAATGATAGAGATAATTTGACAATAGTTTTAATAATAAAAAAATTGAACCTCTAGATCTCGCTACAAATTTCAGAGAAAAAGTTACATTGATCGTAAGATGTCTCGAAACGGAATAATTTGTTATTTGAAACATTTATTTTTAATAATAATTCAGATACTTGAAGCACTCAGACTAAATGAAGCGTTTTATATAGGTACATATTTACATAAACAATCTACGTCTAAAGGTTTTATTTCTGAAATATTTCTGAATGAAAGTGATAAGTAATACGTTAATTAATTAATTTTTTATTTGTTACTTATATTACTTTAGATATAATCTATTATATTTAAATATAAAATTATTAGTACTACTTTTATTCATAACGTTTCATGATATTCTGATTGTTTAGGAAAGACGTTTGACATAACATACGTCAGAGTACTGTTCGAGTCACCCCGGCCGGAAAGTTGGGGTATCTACAAGCGGAAGAACGAGAAGTCGCCGTGGGAGCCTTATCAGTTTTATTCAGCGACATGCCGGGACACATACGAGCTGCCCGAGTCGAAAGAGACCGTTCGCGGTGACGACACGCGCGTGCTATGTACCTCGGAATTCTCCGACATCTCCCCGCTCACCAAAGGCACCGTCGCCTTCTCGACCTTGGAGGGCCGACCCTCCGCCTATTACTTCGAAACCAACCCCGAGCTTCAGGCAATTGACAATCACTGAAAATAATATATTCTCACTTAACGTAACAAAATTCAGATGAACAGTTTTAATTCTGTTTGTAAAAATAATCTTGGATTTTTACATTAAAAAATTAAACTTGTCAACGAAATCGGACAAATTGCAACTAGTAGTCGAGATTAAAGTTTAGTTGATGAAAAAATAATTTAATGAAAGTTGGGATTTCAAGCAGAAAGTAGTTGAAAGGCATGAGATTTCTTTGACGACGAAATTAAAAGTTTTTCTTAGACTACATGTATTTCATAGTTGTATGGTATAAACGATACTTTAACAAATACGATTTTGTATTTTATAGGAATGGGTGCAAGCGACAGATTTGAGAATCACTCTGGACAAGCTGAACACGTTCGGCGATGAAGTTTTCGGCGACACGCAAGTGCTGAAATCTTACTACTATGCGATAGCCGACGTAGCGGTCGGTGCGAGATGCGCTTGCAACGGCCACGCCGGAGAATGTGTGAACAGTACCAGTGTTGACGGCAGAACTCGCAGAGTCTGCCGGTAATAATTTCGTTCCACTCAGTGACTTTGTACGCAATTGTACTTTGGCACTCGATATAATATCTTTGTTTCCTCTGTTTTTTTCCTTTTCAAAATTCACTTCTGTGAATTTTCTGACACTGCATCGTCTAAATAAATTACTATTTATCTTCACGTACACGATTGATAGTTTAGATTGTGATAAAACTTTTTATTTCCAATGATATATTTTTGAAAGTAAAATTATAACCACAATTCGAAGGTATATAAGAGTCAAGACAGGATGTAGAGGGAGGTCCAGGTTCAAACCCTGGATGAGGTAAATTTTTCGCAATAAACTTAAAAATTAGAAGTCATTTAGACACTAACATCTTGTCTCGGCACTTATGTCCTTTATTCCTTCGAATGTGATTTCACGTCAGAGCTTTACGAATTTTATTGTTTATAAAATTATAACACTGTATAATTAAGTTAAATTACTAATCACGATAATAATTTTATCACTTTGCTGCAAGTTAGAAGCTCTAAACTTATTCGCAGATGTGAGCACAATACTGCTGGTCCGGACTGCAACGAGTGCCTACCTTTTTACAATGACGCTCCTTGGGGTCGAGCCACGACTACAGATGCGCACGAGTGCAAACGTGAGTATTTATCTGAATATTATGTCCGTATTTTATTACAGTTTTACATACAATCATTTTACGTACGATAAATTTTGTATATTAATTTCTTCGTGAAAATATATTCGATATAAAGAGAGTTACTGAAATGAATGGTTTCGTTAATTTTAAACTTTAGCAGATTACAAGGCAGGATTTAAAATATAAAGCAAGAAAGTTCAGATATTATTGCTGAGTTATTAAAAGTGAGGAAAGGAATTGCTTTTTTTACACCTTTTGCTAACTTAATTCATTATTCTCTCTTTCATCTTTATTCTTCATTTTCAATCTTTAATATATCTAGTCTTTAATATAATCAGCTAAAAAGTTGCTATGCTGTGTGTTGGGACTAATCTGAATTGACTGGAAAGAAATAGACAAAAATAAAAAAAAATCGTATAATAGAAAGAGATAGTAGAATGTAATTATACAAGAATGTCAGAATTTTTGCATTTCAATAATCTTTGTTACAAAATGTTGCTGGATATGTATAACGTGTTGCGTGTAATCGTAATCGACTCAGAAGCATAATTGATCGTGTAAATTTTTTTTATTTTTTATTTCATATTGCTGTAAATTTGTTTTTACTTAATATCACTAGAATTTTATTCGTAAAAATAACAGTGAAAAACTGCATCGTGGACTTACGATCAGTCTTTTTCTGCATAACATAGTACGTGTCCAACGGGGGGACACGGTGCGCGTTACAAACACCATAAGCGACTGCACCTTCGCCAGCATTACCTGATACCAGCTTTGCCTTTTACGTTCATCTCCCGCTCTCTCGAGTGGGGATGCATGGCTTGTAGGGAAGGTACACGGCCGTTCAATGCACTTTTGTCTGCATTCGGTGTATCGTGGTACCGCGATAAAAGCGTATCTGTCCGCTGATCAAAATTCTCGAAATCCAGTATAATGAAAGACACGATAAAAAGCAGTTTTTCGATGAATATCTAGAGAGCAATTCGAGGAAGTGTAAAATCCGAACTGATTGCGAAATCTAAAGTGACAGTGATCGGAAACGTGTGCCAGTTCATGTAGCAATTTGACAGATATAATCGAACGCAATTAAATATATAATTATATAATTAAAAAACTGCAATATAATAACATGGAGTAATGAAATAAGTTGAATTATATGCATCGATCTCTGTGGATGTTCTTATATCGGGGAAAAAAATGAAATTAATCGCGTTATTGATGGTAGCACATTGCATATTGCCGTGCACGCCGCAGGATGAATTGCGTCCCTGGTTTTCAAGATCCAGTAATTGATAATTTATCATAATATATTGTTTATAAAATTGTTTATAATCGTATTATATTAACAAGATATTCGATTATGACATTTTGAATGAAATTTATATATCTTTGTACAAACTGTAACATAAACTCCAATATTAAGTTATTATTCAAAATTATAATTATTAGATGAAATGTAATTAATAATTCATTAATAAATTAATGAAATATAATTAAATAATTATTATTTCTGTCATTATTTATTTGATGCAAACAAATTATTCTTAACGTTTCCTTGCATTATTCTTTTCCGCTGTTATAAAATATATTTTAATATTAATATAAAAATATACAATTATTTGAAATTGAAAAGGATGACATATTTGTCGTTTCTTCTTCTTGCGTGTAAAATTTCTGCAATTAGTTAATCTGTTAATTCGTTCATCTATTATTTTTTGCAGCTTGCAACTGTAACGGATACTCGGACAGGTGTTACTTCGACAAGGAACTGTATAAGCTGACCGGTCACGGAGGTCATTGCTTGGACTGTCGTGCCAATCGCGACGGCGCCAATTGCGAACGGTGTCGCGAAAACTATTATCAGCGATCCGAGGATAACTACTGTGTTGCATGCAACTGCGATGAGATTGGTATAATAATTCTAAATAAAATAATTGCGATCTCAGATCTGATAAAATTTTAAATTTAAATTAACATCAGAATTTTGTACTATGTGAATAGAGATTGGTTCTGTTCTAAACAAAACTTTTTTTTATAATAAATTGAAATTGAATAAATTGCAGGGTCAAGAAGCTTGCAGTGCAACAGCGAAGGTAAATGCCAGTGTAAACCTGGCGTAACGGGAGATAAATGCGATCGCTGTGCAGCCAATTTCTACAACTTCGGCTCGCAGGGCTGCACTTCCTGCGAGTGCAGCTTGGCAGGATCGTTTGACAACGTTCCCAATTGCGATACTGTCACGGGAGTTTGCGTCTGTAAGGAGAACGTCGAGGGAAAACGCTGCAGAGAGTTAGTATCTCTTGCTTCAACTATTTAATCGTATCTTTTTTTGGGAAAAAATTAGTTTAATTGATTCACACTTTAGTATATCGACTGCCAACGTCTTAAATGATAAATTTGTGGCTTTTTGTGATCTTTTGGCTTACACTATTACTAAAGAATAATTTAAATATTATTTGTGCTTAGATTGTACAGATCTTCTCGCACATTGTACGTTTTTTGCAATAATGATTCTCTAATCAGTTTAGACTAGTTTGCATTATCGTGAGTTTGGGTCTCTTTTTTAAATGAAGTTTTGTGCGTTCTCGAAAGTTGAAATTAATCGAGCGCCAAAATTGACCAGGTGTCGTCCAGGTTTCTTCAATCTAGCTGTGGACAATGAGTTCGGCTGTACTCCCTGTTTCTGTTACGGCCACTCCTCGGTCTGTCGGCCGGCGAACGGTTACTCGAAGCTGTTCATCGAGAGTATATTCGTGCGAGGAAACGAACGCTGGTCCGCGTCCGTGGCCGGCAATCCGATTCCGTTGCATTACGACGCACTGACACAAACGGTCTCGGTTACCGCGCTCGACCGCGACAACGTGTACTTCCTCGCGCCCGACAAGTTTCTGGGGGACCAGCGTGCGTCGTACAATCAGTACGTATCGTTCATACTGAGGATAGGGGAAACCGGCCCGGCTCCTACGGCACGCGACGTAATTTTAGAAGGTGGAAACGGCGAGCAGATCACGCAGCCGATCTTCGGCCAGAACAATCGTTTACCGACTGTCACAGTGTGTATTTTTACTCTCTCGCCCTTACTTTCTTACAACACATCGCACTAACGTGATTATCTTACAGCCTCAAGAGTACCGGTTTAAGCTGCACGAGCATGTCAACTACGGCTGGCAACCGCGATTGTCCTCTCGTGCTTTCATGTCGATTCTGTCAAATTTGACCGCCATCAAGATCCGCGGAACCTACACTCATCAAGGCCGGGGATTTTTGGACGACGTGAAACTAGAGACTGCTCATCGTGGCGCAGCTGGCGAATCAGCCGACTGGGTGGAGCACTGTCAGTGTCCTCACGGCTACGTTGGCCAGTTTTGCGAGTCGTGCGCGCCTGGATTTCACCACGACCCGCCCAATGGCGGCCCCTTCGCTCTTTGTGTCCCTTGTAACTGCAACGGGCATGCCGATATTTGCGAAGCCGAGACCGGTAATCGGAGTTTATCGCATTATACACTTCGAAGAGAGACAAATCAAACCGAACTCGAGAGATAAAGTAACTGTTTAGTTTACAAAACTCTTTGAGATTATAAATTTCTGGCGGACGCGAAATTGTGGATTTAGCTTGAATTTAGTTTATTGTTGCGTTACTTGTTTAGTCAATAGACAATAATTGTTTAGACAATAGCTTTGACGATCTTTCGAACGTATTGCAAGTCTGTTTCTTGCTCTTATCTAATTATTTCTGAAATATTTAATAATATCTCAAGTATGATATTGTTCTCCTATATTCCAGGACAATGTATCTGTCAGCATAATACTGCGGGAAGCAATTGCGAGCTGTGTAGTAGAGGATATTACGGTTATCCATTGAAAGGAACCCCAGACGATTGCAAACCGTGCCCCTGTCCCGACAATGGGCCTTGCATTCTTTTGGGCAACAATCCGGATCCCATCTGTTCCGAATGTCCTATCGGCAGGACCGGTAAGCATACAGTTTTTGCAGATACATTTTTCTCATGGATTAGACAGAACCCTACGCAAGGTAGGGTGTTGCTTTAAATCTTCGCCTTACTAAATGAATGAATCTACTATGTACTAGAATTGAATATCGAAAAGATTAGACAGACCCCTACGCAAGGTAGAGCGTATCATGAAACACAAGTAAAAGCATCCTACTCCTTGCGTAGGAGTCTTGGTAATTTTATCGATATTTTTAGTATATAATGTGTCTGTTGTTTCTGTTTTTACAATAAATAACAGCTTTAGTTGCCGGTCAACTACTTTTGCAACTGACGAACCTTTTGTCGTTGTAGTTAATACTTCAACGTAGCATCTATTAATATTTCTTATGTTCTTTCTTCCCCCCCCCCCCTCCTTTTTTTAAATTGATGAAAGATCATATGAAATATATGTGTACGTTCTTGCGCAGGACCTAGATGTGAAACATGCTCCGATGGTTATTACGGGAATCCTGAGAGAGGTGTCGCTTGTCGTCCCTGCGACTGCAATAACAATATCGACTTAAATGCAGTTAGAAATTGTAACCACGAAACGGGAGAGTGTCTCAAGTGCGTCAATAACACAGCGGGCTTTCACTGTGAGGAATGCCTGGCTGGTAAATATAATATTTCCTTCGTGGATTTTTTAATAATATAATATATATATATATATGTTTAATTATATTATATTTTTTTATATTATTGTGATCGGAGAGGAGAGGAATAATCCTGACTTTCTTTGAGAGCTTTCTATTAATTTAAAAATCGCAATACAATGCGAATACAATGTCTGCTCTGCGAGAGGCGCGCGTATCGAGTTGGTATAGCAGCGAGTCGCCAGAAATGGATATCCGACTACATTATTATGTTTTGTATAATAGGATATTACGGAGACGCGCTGTCGGATCGCAAGGAAGACGGCTGCAAGTTGTGTCAGTGTTATGCATCGGGTACTTTGGAACTTGACGACGGAAGGATCGTGCCGTGCGATCAATTAACGGGTCACTGCGCCTGTAAGCCACACGTCATAGGTCGCAATTGCGACAAGTGTGAGGAAGGCTATTACCATATTATGAGTGGGGAGGTAAAGTGAGCTAAGCTAAAATAAAAGATAGAGATAATGTAATGGTAACTGATACACTATGAGTTGTTAACTTACTGGTTAAGTAACACACGTTTACTTAAATAATGTGTCGTTTATCTCATGCACACGAATTTGTACTGCTTCTAAATTTAAGATATTTTCAAATTGCCTCAGTAAAAGATTTTTGTGTCGCAGGGTTGCACGCCGTGTAACTGTGATCTGGAAGGTTCGTATAATCGCACCTGTGACACAATAACAGGACAGTGTCAGTGCCGACTTGGAGTAACGGGTCAACATTGCGATGCCTGTGAGCCCTATCAGTACGGGTTCGGCCGCGAAGGTTGCAAGCCTTGCGATTGCGACAGTATCGGCTCCCAAGATTTGCAATGTGATGCAAGCGGACAGTGTCCCGTAAGTGTCGATACCTGTATAAAACTTCTGCACATGTAAATATTCTGTAATGTAACAAAATGGATGATTAAGAGGATTTTGAAGTAAAATCACGTTTACACAGTTACTTATGGTAAAAATCCAATCAACTGTAAGCTTATATAAAAATTTTATTATTATTTCTTGGATTTTTGTATTTTTGTGATAATAAATTTGTTTGCTCCTTCTTGTATAATATTTTTGACATTTGTCGGTAGTGCTTGACGAACGTTGACGGCAGACGTTGTGATCGCTGTAAGGAGAACAAGCACAACCGTCAGCACGGATGTATTGACTGTCCCGATTGTTATAATCTTGTACAATCGGCAGTCAATGATCACCGACGACGTTTGGCTGAGCTTGAAGATACCCTCTATAAGATCAACAGCAGTCCCACTGTCATTAAGGATTCCGATTTCGAAAAAGAGCTGAAGAATGTACAGGAAAGAGTGGGAACATTATTGACTATCGCCAAGCGAGGATCCGGCAGTAAATATTATTATTGTCATCTATTTATTTTGAACTGAAAATTAAATAATAATTCTATATAATTAAATGATGAAAAATTATCATAAAAGTGAAAAGTATTTTAATGAAGTTATAAACACTTAATATTGTGATTTTGCTTATATTACTGTAAAAGTAAAATCCGATATTTTTATCAGGTGAGAATAAAACGTTGGTGGAACAGCTGGACGAACTGCGCGAGCAATTAATTACGATTGACAAGATCTATCAGACCGTGAATGTGACAGCGATAGACGCAGGTGTTATAACCGAGAAAGGTTTGGCGAGTATTTATGAGGCAGAGAAAGTTTTGGATAAAATTTACGAGCAGCTAACGGTAAACAACATTTTGTTTCCTTTATAATACTTTATAATAATTTTTAATCTTGACTGTACACTGTAAAATTACAAGATTATCTAAGAATATTTTATTTTAGTCGCAATATATCTGTTAGCGCATATAAGGCAAAGTTTTTTTTTTAAATATATCTGTTCTCTTATCTACTTTTTTTGCTTATGCCATCCACACCAGTCAACACGCCATTTCCAACTTTTATTAAAATTTACTGTGATTTACACTCTTTATATGTACTCTCGTTCCAATAACTAACTTCATATTTTATTTCACGGACAACGTAATTTTACTTTTGTATTATTCGCATACCGATGTTCTAATTTCCTAATTCTATCTCATACTGAAGATGGTCCAATTTGCAATCAAAACGTATACATTTTTTATCTAATAAAATTCTTTGACACTACCATCTTGTCTAGGCTCTGAGCCCTATTTTTTTATCGTTTGATTTCTATTATACGAGCCATAGTTTTTTACTTCTTTTTTTTATTTCAAAAGGTTCGATTACAATTTCACCAATAATTCTTATTTTAAGTCGATTAGCTATTAAAAAATTTTATGAACAACAGGAGGCGGAAGATTACTTGGGTACGGATGGAGCGAGTGCTTTATCTTCGGCAAAACTGCGCGCTGAGCAAGTTGGCCAGCAGAATCAGCAGATGACATCGATCGCGCAGGAGGCGCGTCAATTCGCTGAAGCGTATGTATCTTTCACCGTAAATATGTATAAATTTTACATTAATTTCATTAATGAAAAGTAGAATTTTTTCGGAGAGTTAATTGTAATTTCCGTTTTGTTATTTGTGCTCATAGTTCTCTATCCTCTAGATTCTTTTAGGTAAAAATAAAGAACTATTTATAAATAATTATTAAACAATTTCTTCAAATCATTCTTACTAAAAAGTTTTTAGTGATGTTTTATAATGTTATATTATTGTATAATATTATATTAGAATTTGCTATTTTTTTAGGAACACGAACGAAGCCAAGAAGCTTCATGCGATGGCGGAGCAAGCGCGAAACACGACATTTGAGGCTTATAATCTCGCTAAACAAACAATATCGAAATATTCTAATATAACGTTAGTAATATTTCCCTTTTTTCTCTACTTATAAATACTATTTATTTTATTGACTTATAATTGTTATTTAATATTTGCGATCGTCTAATGTAATCATTACATGCAGAGTATAGAAAAAAAGATTTTGTGCAGGGATGAAATAAGGGATCTGGAGAACAAGTTGGCGCAATTGGAGGATCGTATGGACGAAGTGAGGAATCTTACTGCCATCGCGGCTACCAAGTCCTCGGCTGTTTCTCAGGAAGCGTTAGATTTGCTAATCCTCGATCTAACGCTGCCTCCGGTTGATATCGAGCAATTGCGACAGCAAATAGAAAGCGTTAACAGTGTGGTAATTATGACATAATAATATAAATAAATACCATAATTACAGAATTACAATATATTTGAGTCGAAAAGAACTAATCTAAAAATAATATGAAAGCTAGTGCTAATACAAAATCTAAATAATCTACGTGTTATGAAATAGAGCTTGCAGATTAAAGAGCAGGCGCAACTTTTACTGGAGGAAAATGAGAATCTTATCAGAGAAATGGCTGAAAAGGTTAGAAAGAGCGAAGATCTTTTAGAAAAAGCTCAAGAACAACAAGCCTCAACGTCCGAACAGTTAGCTGGATTGGACGACGCCAATCATACGGCAAACAAGGCTGTTCAACGTGGCGATCAGACACTGAAAGAAGCTCAAGAGACCTTGAAGAAATTAGGAGGTGAGTATTGTAGAAAGAAAATCTTGAAAGTTTTTATTTTATGAGACTAGAAAAACGAAGAAACTCGTGAATTTGTTAAAAATTTTTGTAAGAAACTGAATTCTTATATTGTATTAGAATTTGATGCCGAGGTGCAACGTGAACGTGTTAAGGCTCGTAGCGCCTTGAAAGACATCCAACAAATTGAAGATTTGCTTAATAATGCTAATACACAAGCCAGAGAGACGGAGAGAGTGCTAAATGGGTCGGAAGGTAATGCTAAAAGCGCACTCGAAATTGCGCAAAATGCTCAGGTAAGATAGCTACAATTAATTTTATAAAGCACTGCTATAAATTACTGTATAATAAAGTTATCACTCATTATTTTTTCTTACTAAAACACTACAATATAACTTGTATTTTATTTGTATTTTTTAATTATTTCTTTATTAACTTATTTTCATTCTCATATATTTATTATCTCTTATATATTATATGTACATAGATACTGGATTATCTTCTTTATTTTATTAAATATATGATAATATATCGTAACATATTACATGTTCTTACAGAATTTTGCGGATAGAGCGAGCACTAACGCAAATGACATCAGAATGGAAGCAAATAATACGAAAATTGAAGCTCTACGACTTGGAAACGAAGCCCAAAAGTTGCACCTACGAGTTGACACTACGGATTCGATGATCAAGCAGTATGAAGTCCAGATGACCAAGGACGCCAATATCACCGCCGAGGTAAAAATTTAATTAATTAAATTAGTTAAACAGGAGGGGGGAAAAGAATAGGAGGTAAAATATAAATTGAACAGAATCCAAGGCTATTTCTATTTGTTTAATTGAACTGTCTCTTATTTAAGAATTCAAGATTAACGACAAGGTAGATTACTGTGCCTAAACCTCTAATTTTTAGGCAAACTATAAAGTTGGCCAGGCGAAGACCAACGTAACTATGGCGTCACAGCAAGTCGACAAGGCTTTATCTGAGGTTGCCATGATCATTAGGGAGCTCGAGAATCTACCAGAAATCGGTGAGTTTGAACTCCTACGATCGCTTGATCTTCGAATTTTAGATTCGTCTATCTCTAACGTATATAAAAGTCTATTTCTAGATTCCATTCTATAAATTCTAAGTGTATATTATCTATCAATGCAAAGTCAAATGTGATCATTTTTCTTAAAACATTAACTTTAATTTCGTAAATTAGACGACGCTGATTTGAATCGCTTAGAAGAACGCTTAGTTGCCGCTGAAAAAGAAATTAAGGCCGCAAATTTGGATCAGCGTATCCGTACATTGACGGATGCGAAAAATCTACAAACACAGTGGGTTAAAAATTATGAAGATGAGGTCAGCAGACTGCGAATTGAAGTGGAGAACATCGATGATATTCGAAAGGCTTTACCAACTGATTGTTATCAACGTGTCCGTCTTGAGCCTTAAAATTAATTTTTTTACCTTATTCATTTTGCGTCATTTTTTTAAGAAGTATATTATAAGCTATATGACGTTTGAAGTCCTGTGTATCCTTAGCGTTAAGGTTCAAGGATTTTTCAATTGTTTTTAGATCGAGGATCTTTAAATCGTTAAAGAGCTTCCATTTCCTTAAAGACAAGATACTAGAATTTTTTTAGTATGTTAACATTGGCAAATTCAGATTAGATTTTTCAGTGATAAGCAATTTCTTAAATAATAAGACAAAAATGAACAAGTTTTTAAAGAAAATCTACTTAATAATTTTAAACAAATATACTTAATAACTTACATAGATTCTTAACTCCTTCATTGTATATGACACATATGTACGTGGGAAAAGACGTGCCACCAGTGCGTATGACGCATGTATACGCATCTCAAGAAGAACTGATTTATATTTTTGCCTCGAAAATCTTGATATTAAAATCATGAAATAAATCTTTAAAAAACTTGTTCACAGTAGTGGCACGAATACCTCATTTTCGTCACACTACGAAGGGGTTAATGATAAAGATCTTGTGATTTGCAAAGATACAATTTAGAAATTATTTAAGACTTTTGATACACATCTTTTTGCAAACAAATAAATTTTATAATTCCAAATGAAAAGTTTCTTAAATAATTTTACACAATGATTAAAAGGCATTTTGCATGTTAGGCTAGGGATGAATTTTGTGCATAAACATATATGCACGTAGTGGCAATAAACATTTCATACCAAAGATTCTTTTATAGTATACATATATGTTTGGATTTATCGTCATTTATCATTCAATTTACATCTCTTCTCTATTATATTTGTTATAATGACTATTAATCATGTATAAATATGTATATAGATTTGTGTACATCCGTAACATGTAACTGCCATGCCAATGCATATTAGTGCATTATTTGCAATGATATACTATTTAAGGAAACAGTTATATTAATTTTAGATACGTTCTTCGGCCTTTGCGAAATAGTGGAACAATGAAAAAGAGAGTAAACACGAATAATCAAAGGAGTAATAGCAAAGCTATTTCCTGTTTCTGGGACCATAAAAAGACAATATAATCGATGTAAGAATACAGTTAAAATTCTTTTTATGTTAAAAATAAAATGAAAGAAAGATCTATTTTGCCCTGTAATATTGGTTGAAAAACACTAAATAAAAAAATATATATGTACGATTATTAGAATAATCAACATGTAGCATTTTATTATTATCAACTATTATTCATATTGCTGAATTATGAAATTCGTTTGATCACGCAGATAAACTTCACGTATGAGTTATATTTTTATATAGATAAGACAGATAAAATAAGACATTTTTATATGAAAATATTCTACAGATTGTAATATTTGAGGATAATAAATATTTTGAAAGTAATTATAAGGGATAATATCTCGGTAATTATGCATGCTATACAGGAGAACAACTGTTGGGTTAATGTTACACGAATATTCATTTGTTCTTTTAGCTTTTGATTCAATAATATTACTTCTATATTTCTTGCAGTTATTCACGAAGTTGATTGAAATGTTTCACAACTTGTATATTATTGGAAGGATAATACATACCTAAATAACATTTTTTAATTATTAAAACGTTTGATCAACTTCATAAATCACTACATATTCTTATCTTCCGAGTAAAGAAAAAAACATATTTATGATTGGGGATGTTTCGTTAGCGAAGAAACAGTTTTAATATATTTTATATATTACATAACATTATTATAACTATAATATATGATATGAATGCTTAAATAGTTTATATAGGCAATTATAGAAAATACTATTGCATTTATTAGTGGTGAATGACATTTACGAGAAGACCATTATAAATTATTATAACTCTGTATTTATTTCTAATGTTGATAAAATCTTGCTATCAGTAATAGGTCAAATGGACTTAGATTACACTTACGGCTACAAAAGAAATCTTTATCTTGATAGAAGGGGAGGAAACGGGGAAGAAGCTAAAGGAGACGAGAGATGATTCATTTAATTATGAATAAAATGATTAAAAACACCAATATAGCAGTCAACACTCCAATGGCTACCCATTGTCCCCGATCTAAAACAAACGGAAAGTAACATCACATGCGTCACTCGAGATTCTTACGAGATCGATGCAAATGATTTTACGAGATTAAATTGCGATTATGTTTTCTTTATGGAGACATTTGTGATTAACGATAACCTGACGAGGCAAAGATTATATTCTGAGATTATAGAATAATTTTTAACATTCACTCTCTAGTTTGCCCGTAAAAAACGTGGCAAACATTCTTTATTATTTAATTTTAACTACAGTACAATTACAGAAAATAAAACCCATGATGTTTTAATAAGATCAATCAAAATTACTCACGAAATTATGATCAAATATATTAAAATTTCGAAAACCACTTGGGAACATACCACATATTCTACTTGTACATACATTATTATCTCTAATTGTTATTTCATCTCTTAGTACATTAAAGGTTATATGAAATTTTTAAAACATTTGACCAAATACGAATAGGTAACTTCGTGAGAAATCAATTTTAAAAAAATTAAGGAAGCGGGAAATATTTACAGTTGTTTACAGCTCACAATACAAATTGTTTCTTATGTTTTATTCGTCAATGTATTCTATTTTTTTCACAATTGGTCGTCGACGAAAAAGAGATAACAATAAAACTACGTCTTCATTCGATTACATTTACAATCTACGCTCTTCTTTCCAATTCGCACAGATATATTAACTGTCTCATGCAACTATCTTTTCCAACAAAGAAAAATATATAATTGTTATTATGCGCGTGTATGCGTATATGTATTTTAACATATTCTCTGTACTACTTGTTTTCAATTCTGAAAATTTCTCACTCTGGTTACGAAGAAGTTATATTTCTTCAACTTTAAGATAATCTCTAATAAAATAAAATCATTTGTACAAGAATTCTTTATCTTCCTGGATCCTAATTCTGAAATAAATTCACAATTGTTTGATGATTTACTCACTACTTAAATTTCTCAATTTAAACCTTCAATTTTTGTATTTCCAGATACTTGAAAAAATCTGAAATTCTTCGATTATTTTATATTCACATTTTCTTAAATCTTTAGATCTCTAGGAGGATTTGATTTCTTAAATTTCTAATATTATAAACTTTTTTATTCTAAAGTTTTAAAATGTTTGCTTTTCGTACTTTTGAAGTTTTTAAATTTTTGACCCGAAAATATGATTCTAATCTTTCAAATTAGCTTCTTTGCATATCCAGATTTTTAATCATTGTCTTTTCAAGTTCTTAAATTTTTTAATCATGTTTCATATTCTGTGTTTCAATCGAGATATCATGTTAAACCTTTATTTTTTAATAAATTATTTGATTTATTTATCCATTCAACTCTTTTCAATCTTTTCACGGATATAGAACTGAAATAGTTTTCGAGATTATCCTGTACATTTCTTCGGTGCTTAAGTTTATGTTGAACAACCGTGCTATTCTGCAACACATATATAATCCTACTAACAATCATCCCTCGGAGATCTAACTGGTCCATCCTGATTTTGATGCTACACTCACATTTGTCAAAAGAGAACTCGATATCTTTGGTAATTATAACAAACTACGTAAACTTACGTAGTAACAGTTAAGATTAATTAGGTCTTGTGTATTGTAATATTTTCTTTTCTAAAATTTACATTGGCCGATATATTTACCTACCACGATCTATGCCACAAAATATTACCTGTCTGCATCTAATTGAAGAATCTTATAATTTTCTTATTTTATTTTCATCTTTATTTTATTTCTACTTACAGTTAGTGCTAATTGTAATTAGTGAAAAAGGCATAACAAAAATGCAAAACGTGATTAATGTCACTGGATGCCAAAACAAAAACTGTTAATAAGGATTTAGATTAGTTACTTTTTATTAGTACTATTTATAAAATTTGCCAATTATTTACTAAATTGTTTCTAAATTATTTCTGGATATTAGAAATAAAAAAGAAATCTACTTGAAATTATTATTGCTATTAAATTATGTTTAACTATTAAATATTATTTGTCAAGACTGGTTACCAATTATTTATTAGTAAGAGCTATATTTGCTAGCCAATAAGTATTTAATTATTATATCCATGTAACAATTATTTACTAAAAATTATTAAAGATTTTTGGTTTTTAAATCACAAAGGAGTATTAATTAATAATATAAAAATTATTACCAAGATAACTCAATAAACATTACATTAAAATATAAAGCAATAGAATTAACGGTACAAAAAGCGATAAAAATCATTACCTTAAAAATAATTTAGACATAATTTAGTAAATAATCCTACAACGAATGATATTAGTTCAGATTATACAACAGCTAATTTTGCAATGATATATTACATACATTACATATAGGCTATTCATGTGCAACATCTGCCTTTCTTCAATGATAGTTTTCAAATTTAAAACTGATACAACATTTCTCTAATTTAATGAGAGACTGCTGTATCTCTCCTTCAAATTTCTAAATATTCCTAAAATTGTGTTTATTACATAAAATTCAAATTTGTGCTACAAATATATGCATAGAATTATACTCTCCAGATTTTAAATAACCATTTCCTTCATCTAAATAAATATTCTAAAGAATAATTGAATTGTTCAAAAACAATTCAATGACGTCAATAAAAAGTACTGTAACTTTTGAAGAGCATCACTTACATTTTCTTATTTACATACATACATACATATATGTATATGTATATGAGTATATACATGTATTTATATGTATATGTTCCAACTTGTAAATACTTAGCGTTTTATATTTTGCTTGTACTTTTAAAACAATGGAAATAAAAAATGAAATCTGAAAATGCAGTTACAATATCTTTTATTGGTATCCTCGAATTGTTTCTAAAGGCTTAGAGCAATTAGCACGATAATTAATCGCTGGAACACAGAAAACAATTGGCGATTGTGGTGGAGAGGGAGGAGAGAGAGGAGGGTTTGTTATCAGAAACTAGATCGGCGACGCTGGATGTCACCGGGGTAGTAGGGGCGGGAATGTAATTGTTATAGTTACCATTACTCATGTGCAGCACCTTGGCCATCTTCTTCATGGTAGCGTCCAGCTTGGAGTCCGTCGTCTCCAACTCATTCCCGAATTCATCCAACATCCTGCAAGGAATTTATCTCATTGAGCCACAGTAACAACAACGTAATAAATTAATAACTATATATATACTAAAGGGTGTTTCAATAAGAAGGCATGATGTTAAACGTGAATTAAAAATTGGTGGTGTACAAAAATAAAAATTTCTTTAATAGAACATGTTTGGTAGGCCATTACAATTAAGTATGGAAGATAATGTCCGCCAAATGTTCGCCACGGCTCCGGCGGCACACGTCAATCCGCTTATCGAAATTTGCTATCACATCTCGACACAACTGCTCCTGAATCTCTTCAATGTGGCGTGAAATTTCGTCTTTGAGTTGCTGGATGGTGGTAGGCTTGTTGGCATAGACTGTACTCTTCAATTTGGGGCCATTTGAAGAGTAAAGTCTATGCCAACAAGTCTACCACCATCCAGCAACTCAAAGACGAAATTTCACGTCACATTGAAGAGATTCAGGAGCAGTTGTGTCGAGATGTGATAGCAAATTT